GTCGACCCGCCATCAGAGGTCTATCGATATTCGCAAATTCTCGCAAGTGCTGAGACACGCGTATATCTCTTTATATAGAATCTCGATTTAATAACTTACACCGGCGTCTAAGGTAGGCTTCCACTACAATACCTTACTGATGAGTCCAGTAGTGGAAGCCGGGACGAAACGCCAAACATTACGTGATATTCTTCGCAATATAGAATATTAGAATATATTATCAGATTTAGATTGACTCTTATTCGCCATTCTCAACGTATTAATTATTGTTTATAAAAAGAGTCCTTTATTTCTTCAATTATTATGTATTACATTATATTATATAATGTAATATATGTATATACTTATAAACATGGATGGGAAGTAATTCGTTACTTGTAACGAAGTTAGAATTACCTTTTTATTTCAGTAACTGTAACTTATCTTCGTTACTTTCTTTCTATCTGTAATTATAATTTAACTTAGTTACAACTTTTAAATAAGTAGTAACTTATTTAATAGTTACTTTCATAGTAACATGTTTTATATATTTTAAATTCATTTGTCAATTTAGTGTGCGGTAGCTTTCACTTGGCGCTACGTATGCTTCAAAACATTTGATTAATCAAAACCAAGAAATTTAATTCAAGCGATCAACGAATTTTTGTTTAAACTATATTTTTGGATCTAATGGCATCCACCAGTCAAATGCAAGAGTGCTCAATGAACGGTTGTAGTATTAAATGTAACCGATCACTGAGCCATTGTTTTCTGAACGCAAAAACATTACCCATGTTGGATTAGTGCTAAAATTTATTTGCAACTTTTAGCAGAATATAAAATCAATTTTATTTACAAAAAACATATGTATGCTATTTCATATTCATATTTCTATTCATGTGTTTACATTACTTTAACAAAAAACATCGTTGCATTTATATTGTTATTTCTTGAATAAAATTGTTTAAAATGTAAATGTAAATGTAAACAATATTTTTTGAACTGTTCTAGGCTGCATTACTCTGAAGACCCCACGTATATTCCTTGCTAGATGAAAAAAAAGATGTAAAACGATATACGAAAGCATTTGGGTAATGTTTCTGACTGCTGCTCTAATAGAATCGATAATATTAGTAAATATTCCGATGAAATAAAAGTATTTCAAAGGTAATTTCAAATTACTTTTTCAGTAACTGAAACTGTAACTAATTACTTTTAAGATTTAATAACTTGTAATTAATTACATTTAGAAAGAAAAAAGCTGTAACTTTAATTGATTACTTTTACAAAGTAATTTTTCCATCCCTGCTTATAAACATAAAATATAAATTTTGTAAATATAAATGTCATAAAATAATCGTTTGTTAGAGAATGGTCTGATCCGCTATAGAGATATAAAAATAAATTAATTATAAAAAGAGAGAGAGAGAGAGAGAGAGTTTAGAGAGAGAGAGAGAGAGAGAGAGAGAGAGAGAGAGGAGATTATATAAGATATATATGTATATACAAAGAAAAATAGGATAAAGGATAAAATATACAAAAACCATTGAACGTCAAATTATTGACGTGCAATGACTAGAATAATAAACGCAGGTGAAACAAAAATATTAAAAATATAACAAATAATGTAAGAATTTGCTTTTAACTTTATAAAAAAATATTAGATATATTACGCATAATTTATTATATTCGTATAATATAGCTCATAACTTATCATAAATATAGCACACAACTTGAATCATTATCACTGACATATTTTAATATAAATTATTATATTATCAATACTCACTACTTCTGCAGATATGTGTGGACATTTTTCCGAAAAACTTCTTTCGATATTTCATTTTCGTACATCCGTAAAACAACCAATACTACAATAACATAATTGCATTTCAATTTTTTTCGTACAATATGTATTTTTGTACATTTTTTACTTTTCTTTGATATTGTTTTCATGTTAAAAGTTATAAAGGATTATTTTATTATTCTTACCTTTCATGCTTCGAGGGAAATCGAAAATTGAACCATTTTTCGATATAGTATAAACAGGATTCATATTAATATGATAAGAATCTAAATGTAAAGAATCGTATTGATTTTGTACTATGAAGAAATCCATTATTTTGTAATTATTGAAAGTCTGCAAACAGAGTTTTATGATTACATTAATATTAAGTTAGAAAATATATGTAATCGCATATTATTTATATGGTGTAAAATGTGCTGCTACAGTATGTATGTACAGTATGTAACTGCTCAAAATTTGTTAAACAATTTTCGTAATTAACCTACTAATTGTGTAATTAACGAATAATATTTATTAAAATAAGTTCTGAAAGATTAATGAGATAATGTCCATATAATTCATTTTGATTATCACGAAATTGTGTATTAAAAAATTTGTTTTGTACATTATTTTAATTTAAAGATATTTTAAACCTTGTCTTCATTGATTTTGTAAAACAGTGTAACATCTATCCGCATTCATGTTATAAAAAATAAAAATGATGCAGAAAACTAATATAAATGTAAAACCTTAACGATAGCTTCTTCTGCAAATAAAGCAGCAAGACCATCATGCAACCAAAAATTGGATTGCCAAGATATTCTGCCAAGATATACGTTACTAAACCATTGATATGCTATTTTTGGTGCTATTAAACGTGCGATTTCCATCTTGCGCATAACTGGATCTACTTGTTTATTATAGACAAGATCTGCTTCCCTATAAAGCATTATAATTACTCATGAGCAAAGACTTCGCTCAATTTCTTTTGAGTAAAATCGTATACTTTGCACTTTGCTTTCATCAATTCAACTTATTTAAATAATGTATATAAAGTGTATTTGACATATTAAGTTTAAATTACAATTTCGAAAAGTTGAAACATTAAAAAATGTGTGCATGTGTGATAAATTAAATTTTATTTATTCTCAAATTTATTTCCATATTAAATATATAAAACCTCGTTAAATATTTACGTTTATAATTAATTTTTCAAGGATATAGTGAATTTTCTTTACTTCCTATAAAGCACAACAGTCGACAACTTATATATGATGACATCAATTGTTTATTGTTTTATTTATACTTTTTAGTTTGATTGGAAGTTATAAAGTGTATATATATATACGTGTAAAAATTTTAAAGTTGTATATGATGTAATTAAACAGTTTATCTAACACTGTGTGCTAGTGATACGTGTTTTATATAAGTATATATAATTATATATGTATATAAATCTGTATACCTATGAAAGATTAATCCCCATTTTGATGTGCCATCGTATGGAAAACTTGGAATTGCAATGTGATCCATTTTTGGAATATTTATTTCACTAAATTCAGATTCCAAATGCAACGTGATATTTCGTATGAGATTTTTTGTAAACTCAAAGTTAATAGATTGATGGTTTGAGCATTTGTCGCACCACAAAGAAACATTTTCATTAATACGAATGCGAGGAAAATTGGTAAAAACTAGAGCAAATTGCATAATGGACATTAGGGGAGTAACATGGAAATGTGTCCACACAGATTTTTCGTCAATAATATTGTAGTCTTGTATCGGCATGTTGAATAAAACTGTATAATTGCGATGACAGTTTATAGACACTTTGAACGTGGTCTTTAAATGCGGCTTGTTCCAACAAGGAAACAACTGACCATTTCCGGTCACTTGGATAGTTGGCGAGATCAACCATCTACCATAATGAACAATTTTTCTAATTGTATTACATACTTACATTGCATAATAATTATACATATATTTCTAACTGTATGATTGGATTTCAAAAGCATTAATAATGACTGTTATATGATTGTATAGTGCAAACCGTGTTTATTCGAAATTCCATGTTACTGTAACGGAATAAAGTGATTTTTTTCTACTTTAAATAAGTTTAAAGTTACACAAAGCAAAATTATACAATATGAAATCTTTATAAATAAAGCAGAAAATAAATTGTAGTTTTTTTTCTGTATGCAGAAGAACTGTTGCATGAAATAAAAGATTTAGATACCCTCGTGTGTTAAGTATGATACGACATATGTGTATATGTATACACGATGAATATATGTGTATGTGTGTATATATATATATATATGTTTAAGTTTTGAATATCTACTTACATTATACTATTTTTATTGTTCGTGTAAGAGAATTCAAAAAAGTTTTGAGCGTATTTTTTTAAAACATGACCGAAGAATTGCATTTTTAAAGTGTACAGTCCGGGTGATAATACATCGGTGAATTTAAAGCTGATAATATTTACTTTCATAATATATTCGTTTATACGATAAATTTTACCGTCGCTTCTAATCAATATCGTTTCATCATTTATAATTGGATGTAATGAATTCAATATTATATCTTGTGTCGAGCGAAGAACATGGATAGTTATATTGCATATTCCAACAAATGGAAAACTGCTTTTTTCATAATTCATAGTTATGAATTTCCAAAATATGCTTTCTGTTCCATATAGGTGAATTAGGTTTATGTGATAATGCACCGGTATTATGTACTTTGATAGACGAAGATCACTTGGTGGATTGAAATAAAATATATGTTCACCAGTAAGAATAGTTATCATAGTGATAAATATTAAGATACTACTTATCTGTGCCAAATTCATATTGAATAAATATTTTTTTCAAGCACCTGTCAAAATGTTTAAAGAAAATAGAATATTATGGTAATAGCATATATAGCTTTACAGAGCATAGAAATCGTTGTACGAGAAACTGTAACATTAAGAATTATAAACGTAGAAATAGCAAACAGCATTTAAATTACACTAATTATTTTTAATTTTAATAGTATTTAATACTATTCTTAACTGCGTTGTGATAGTGATAATTAGACAATAGGAATATTACTCTTATTCTTTTATTAGGTATATGTATTTAAATCAAGCAAACTATATATATAAAGTATTAAGCATACTTTAGAAACTTACCATGGATGTTAAAACTGTATTATAAAGATGTAATTTTCCATAATAAAAAATTTGTATACTTGTAACAATTATCACGGAATGAAATATGAATATTAGTAATAATATGCTTCGAAATTGCTGTACTAATCTTACTCTTTAGAGGAAGACTTTAGAGAAAAGACGTTGTAGACTACATAAATAATACTACATAAATTGTCAATAACGGATTCGTATAGTAAGTACGAAATGTCATCTAAACAATTTCTTATAATAAATACATATTATATTGTACTGCGTATTAGTTAACATACCTATATAAAACTAGTCAGTTTATCTCTTGTTTTCAAATAATATCAACAACTATTTTGGTATAACACAAACTTAATGTATATGCATTATCCCCGAAAAGTTTCCGGACACAATAGCGAAATTTTTGAAACTTACCACAGCACTGATTATAAATTAAATTAATCTGGTTTTATATCATACCGCATGGTAAATACAATGCAAAACATTATTTTTGAAATCAAATGCCTAAACGACATATTCTAGGTCGTTTCAAAGCATAATTAACGAGTAAAATACACTAAAACAAAATACATGACTCGAGATCCAAAACAGCTAAACTTAAAACAATTAATACTGCAGTCTTTTTAATACTAAGTCAGTCTCGCTTGTGCAAGTAGTCTTTGCATTGGATATTTGTATTTTCAATATTTTCATTTTAATTCTATCAAACAATTATAGTAACTCACTGTGTCTGACACTGATTGGCCTATATATTCTAAAGACTGGTTTTTTAATATTGAGAATGACGTTTGCGATACGATCATTGTGAACATAATAAACCTCTTCACTCCCGGTAAAAGATAAATCACATGGGTTTTACTTTTTAATTTAGTAGAATTTAAATAATAATACTATATGGGTTCTTAAAGATTAAAGGTACCACTTGTTATTATTAACAATATACAATTGCGACTATATTTGCATAAATATGTAATTGTCTCAAAAAATGACTATAGAGATTATAGTTAAATTACATTTGCAACCATATTTTTCTCAGTTTTTTTTTTTTTTCCGATAATGTCCCCGATCATACATGTCGCAGCTTTGTCGGCGTTATCTCGAGTTATCGATCTTTTCGATACAGGATACGATGTGTCTATTATATGTCGCGCTGTTACATAACATTTTCCCCACATTAATCTTTTGGTATGTGTGCGCTGCTGGTATTCTGGGTGATAAACAAGCAACGCGAAAATATGTGTACAGCGATACGTAATACATATTTTACACACACTTTCTCTCTCATAAAATTTGAAAAACTTGATATTTAAATATATAATTTTACGCTGTCACAAGCGCCCATTTTGCAAAGGCACATACGTAAATATTTTGTTTTTTTTACGGGGTCCCCATCGGTCAAAATGGCGCAGATAAAATTACGGATTTTTGCGAGCGGCTTTTTGAACTATTGGTCGTCGAATTTGTACTTCAAATATACAATATTCCACGGGACAATTGAATTTTACGTTGTAACAAAGTATACATGTACCGCCGCGATATTCTCTGTAAAATTTCCCACATGTATTCCGGGATATCCCTGAGGCGTTGAATATACATCCCGCTGCCTGTATATTGACAGTTTCAACAGAATCAACGTGCCTACGCGTTGTTGCTGCTGAACATTCATCTGTACAACGATCACCGATTTCATATCCGCGAATATTGTGTCACGTTAAAAATAGCAGCTTGACTTTCCACTCCTTTACGGAGGGCAATAATCATTATATGCTTGCGACTTTCTACGTAATTCGGCGCCTCTCACCGTGACTCCACCCTTCCGCCGTATCATCATTATTTCCGATTAACATCAGTCGTTTCCAACATTCTTAATTGCCTTAGGCACGTATTATAGAACTGCTCGGAATGGATTCCGATCCATTGTCCTTAGAAAACATAATAGAAATTAGAGGACTAGTAATTTGCTTCGACTCAAGACTTTGACATTCGACATTAAAGACTTCAAAGATAGAAGCTTCGAATCTTCGATACTTCAATCTCCGAAGAATAAAAATTGTGCAATTATAAACGCAATATAGTTAGTATAAAAAATCAAATTCGTTATATAATAGTTCGTACGTCTGCCAAGCAAAGAACAATAAATAATGCTAATGTATTAAAAATGAGCAAAAATAAGTGATTGTTTAAATAAAATTTTAATAATCTATATAAATTATAAACTTACGGTGGATTTCGACTAATTGTAAATCCATGCATTTTTAATTAATTTAATTTTGCAAATTATTCAAAGCTGAAGAAGACTAACAATAAGTCAAGTCGAAACGTACCGTGAGTATATGATTTATATAAATTATTAAATGTTTTTTAACAATCACCCATTTCTGCTCGTTTTTAATACATGACCTTTATTTATTGTTATTCTTCTTTGTTTAATATAATATATAATAGTTAAATATATTTTCATTTAAAAGTATACAAGTATATCTATAAGTATATTTCTCTATTCGCATAAATATATTTTTCGAAGATTCAAAGCTTACTTTGAACCTCAAAGCTTTAAAAAAATTAATGTCTCGGAAAAAGATATTTGTTTTTCACGAGATGAACGAGATGTCGTCGAGTGACGATTTTAACAAGATTTATCAAGCAACCTACGAGAATGACCGTTACGGATGAATTTTTTTTCAAATTACTTATGCACGGCTTGTTTTATCACAGCAACACTACTATCACATTAGACGTAACGAGTTATGTGAGCGGATATGCTAATCAGCTGATAATTATGTGGTCGCAATTTTCAACCTGCATTGATCTGTTACTTAATGGTTCACACTAACTTCAGTTCGCGGTCATTAAAGCGATACATTTCTTCGTGGATCGTCGGATTTGCAACAGTACTCGCACACGTTCATTAATTAAGTGGGAAATAAACGAGCGAGAGTCACGGATAAGATTCAGTCAACTGGTTTAAGCTATAGCTTGCCCGCCTTTTCCTTTTACAAAAACGAATTACGGAGTTCTAGTTATTTATACGGATACTTTTCACAATCGTAAATTTTTATCGATCACGTTTGCTCGTGTGTTCTTTTGAAATTAAACAAGGGAGGAACAATGTGTCGCTAGAATTCAATGTTCTCGGATATATACTTTACACGTATTTATAACTTGAAGCGAAAAACGATAAAGGAATGCAACCGTTTAATTTATGCACATAATGTAATTGGAACGTTCAGCCGGAAAACGATGTTTTTAAGATTTTCTCATGAATGCGCGAATCGTGTATGCGCTTCCTGCATAAACGGAGCCACGTTTCTCATCACACGGATGACTTCCTGACTCGGTTTTTTTTTTTATCGCGCTTGCCTCTCAGCTCCTTATAGTTTTCTAACAATCGCGTGTATTTGTCTTCCCATAGACAAAGGTTAATTGCAATTAAAGGGACCGTGTTAATGATGTCTGAAGACTTCATGTTCGCGAGAGTTTCACCATTTGCGATAATGAAATGTAAGGCCGGGCTAATGGTGCAAAATGTGTTTAAGGCAAACTAGTTTTTGATTTAATCTAGCGACGATGATCAGCTAGAAATATAGACATGCTTTAGTATTTGATATAAATACCCACACAGAGGGTTTGAATAAAAAAAATATAAAAAAGAAATTGAAAAAAACGCTTGAAAGATATAAAAAGTATAAAATGCACGCTTTTTAAAGCACAAAATAAAATAGCGATAAAATGTAAAGCTGTGCTCACTTTACCATGCACTCATGACGAATATTTCAAAATAAAATTGACATTTTTTTTCTCGGTTTCCAAAGCTACCCGCGAATGATCTACAGCATCGAATTAATTCTGTGTACCACCATATAACTTTCACATGAAATTTTTTATCGGGGTATCATGCATTCCGCAATTCTTCAATATATACTGCTCCGAGAGATGCAGCATAGCAACAATATAAAATCTATTTCGTGATATTTGAAGGAACCCGCGATTAAGTGCTAGATCGTTAATATCTGTTTTCACCAATGTAGATTAACTTTAATCTCGGTTTAACTTACTGTTCATGTTTTTTTTTAATTTTTAGAATTAGAAAAAGACGAAGAGCAAATTGAGAACCGAGATTAAAGTAAATCTACATTGGTGGAAATGGCATAAATCGTTTCAGCTGTAAGTTCATCTTTGGAGAGCGGAGAGACGGAAATTGCTTTAGGATTCACGTACAATTAATAGCTATTTACTACGGTCTAACGTAAACGCGCGATACGTAGAATCACCTGGAGACGTGCGCGAGCGTGTGCGTACGCGAGCGTGTG